TCCTATTTGGTGTAAACTTGAAGCTTTCTCTACAGCTATACAGTATCTGTTACTTCTATTCATATTACCCTAGCTAATTGTTTACTTTTCACTAATATCCCAGGACTTTCTATCTCTCAGATGAGACTAGTCCATACCATTTCCATACAATGGCGTATAGCTAAACATTGGAAGCCCCCCTCAACTCCCATTCCACAATTAAAAATGAGAGTAGATTTATTTGCCATATGGAAAAAATATTTCACACGTTATATAATTCTATGACTTTTTATAACAACAAATGGGATCCTTGGCTTGAACGCTCGCATCTTTTTCTAAATACTTAATGTTAACTGCTCCACATCACTATCCTTTATTATATGGATCACGTATCTATAATATATATTGGCCTATCTATATTATATCCTGGTATGGTCTTGTTTACCCTGATTATATGCATTCATATGTATTGATCGTCTTTGTTTTTTGTTTTTTTTTTTTTTTTTATTGGAATACCCTATTTGGTATATCTGTACAACTGTGTTTTCTTTGTACCACCACTTTATACCTAATAAAAATTTGTAAACAAAAAAAAAAAAATCTCAAATTTCACTCTGTCATGTGTACTCTCTAACCTTGTCTGGTCCTGCTGGAAAATTTCTACATAATATTGATCAAAAGCATGAATTGATTTGTTTTTATCAGTCAGGCAAAAGGCCCATCACATATAAGCATTGAGATGGTTTCTTGATGCTTTTGTGTTTTGCACCATTTGTTCATTAAATAAACCCATAGATTTATGCATGTGGTCATAGTGGACCTGTCTACCTTATCCCCATAGTCCATCGCTTGAATCCTCTTACTCTCAACACTGCCTTCTTCCCATAATTACATCAAAAATTTTAAAGTACAATGAATTATATTTATTTTTGTGATTTGTTTCCAATCCTCAGTCAAGCCCTGTAAAATACTTTTTTTCCTTGTCATTTATATATATGATATTTTTTGTGGTAAGTCTACAGGCAAAGAGATGAAAGCCTTTAGTCACTTCATATTTATTGAGGTTTTGATATGAGGAACGAAGACTTAGTTTCTTTATCTTTATAAGAGAGTAGATATGTTAATACATTAATGAGTCAAAAGCAATGTTTAGTAAATTATAGAAAAAAAAGCTAATGCCTTTTGAGGGCCTGTGACATTCTTCTTCATCAGGACTAAAGTACAAGAAAATAGTTCCAATTAAATATAAAATGTATGTTGTAAAATATCTAGATATACTATAAGATGCAATTTAAAAGCAAGAGAGGAGGCAGATTTTACCTCAAAATAAACATTAGAGTGTATTATCTGAGAAACAATAGCCACAGATATTGTACAGTTGCTGGATGGTATGTCAGCAGCTTAGTTAATTTTATACTTAAATAGTTGGTAATGTTGAATAAATAGATCAGTTCATACAGTTCAATGTTTGTGTATGTGTGTGTGTGTGCATGCATGTGTCTATGTCACTACAATTTCCCACATCCCTGTATATTATGTTCAGTAAGATGATCATCTAGAAGTTTTTTTAAATTATCAACACTCCCAATGGTGGAAGGGAGTTCCACATCCATACTGCTCCGTCAGTCAAGAACCCCTCGGGAAGGTTAAACTTCTTCTTGTCTACCTTCTTTAAGTGTCATTTTAAGGTACCTGAGACTGAACAGTTTTCTCCTTATGCTGGAATTACCATTTAGATATTTGAACATTGTGATCATATCTCCTCTTAAGTGTCTCTTCTCCAACAATAATAAGTTTAATGGTAGTAGTTGTTATTAGCTTGTTAGCCTTGTTGCCTTTCTCTGGACTTTCCCCAGTTCCAGCACATCCTTCCTTAGGTCCGGTAAGCAGAACTGGATTGCATACTTAAGATGTAGCCAAACTAGATTTAGTAAAATAGTAGAATTCTAGTCTCATCTCTTGAGTAGATAATACTTTTAATGTATGCTAATAGTCTGCTACCTTTGTTTGCTTCAGCTTGGCATTGCATGCTATTGCTGAGCCTGTGATTTACTGGATCTAGATCTAGTAGATCTGCTTGATCTACTAAATTCCCCAGATCCTTTTCCGTCCTGGATTTTTTGCGATATAAAAAAAGACCGACAATTTCGAGAGAAAAAACACAATATTTTTGACTTTTTGCTTTTACACATGTCCAGTAAAAAAAAAAAATCAAATTTCATCATAAAATTTAGGCCAAAATGTATTCAGCTACATGTCTTTGTTAAAAAATAATGTAAATTAATTGGTTTACGTAAACGTTATAGCATTTACAAATAGCGGAATATATACTGAATTTTTTTTTCTACTAGTAATGGTGGTAATCAGCAACTTATAGCGGGACTGCAGTGGGCATTCTGACACTGGGGGGAACTGACTTGGTGTCACTGACATCCCCAGTGACACCAATACAGTGATTAGTGCTAAAAGAAAGCACTGACACTGTACTAATGGCACTGGACAGGAAGGGGTTAACATGAGGGGAGATCAAAGGGTTAACTGTGTGCTGGGAGTGTTTTACTGGGGGGGCGGTGTGTTGGTGCTTCACTGTAAGCACACTGCTCTGGATGGCTGTGCTGTACCCATTTACAACCCATTCACAACTTCAGACCATTCAGAAGATATGCTATTTATAACCACTCTCTGGAAGCACTCCTGTAATCATGCTTTAAGAGGAACTGTATTAAATGCTTTGATGAAATCCAGATACACCACATTCACATGCCTTCTTCTATCCAGATTACAGCTCACTTTCTTATAGAATGTTAACAGGTTTATCTGGCTAGAAAGATTATACTGTACTATATATATATATCTTTTTTTTAATATTGGTACCACATTAGTCATGTTTAGCCAGACCATTATTCCTAAACTTTAGGACAGTTTAGTGACTGGAATGGTACCAGTTGATTGGTAAAAAGCTACGTTTTTAGAGGATTCTTGGGTGTAAGCTTTCTGGTCCTGGTAATTTATTCACATTACATATTTTAAGTCTTTTTGAACACTTCATTCTGTTAACCACAAGCTAACTGTGTGTTGTGTTACTAATAATACAGACTTGTTTATTATACCCCACCTGTTCCTTTGTAAAAACTGAGGAGAAAAATGTGTTTAAAACAATTACCTTCTCCTTGTTACTTGTAACCAACCTCCCCTGATAATCCTTTTTTACTATCCAATACTGCATAATGGTCTTGTCCCTTGCAAACAGAGATGTTTTCAGATTCTCTGAAGCTTTTAAAGTTATTATGTACTGTAGATGATATATTTAAAGTCTGTGCAATTTAACATTGAGGAACATTATTCTAAAATTGTTCGACAATTTTTATATGCAGCTTTAACAAGGTGAACCTCTGTCCATCTTTACTTCTGACACACTCTGACTCTCTAAGATGCTCTTTTTATACTCAGTCATGTTACTAACCTCTTGCCAATTACCTAATTAGTTACAAAATGTTCTTCCAGCTCTTCCTTGTTAGTACCACTTATATTTCCAGCTTTTTGTTGCACTGTCCCAACTTTTTTAAAACATGTTGCTGCCATTAATTTAAACATTACCATTTTTTTTCTTAAATTGGTAAATTTTCTCAGTTAAAATATTTAATGTGTTTTTTCTATTGTGATGAAAAAATATTGGTTTATGAGATTTGAAAATCATTGCATTCTATTTGCATGTAGATTTTACAAAACATCCCTAATTTTTTGGAATTGGGGCTGTATTTAATTTTTTTTTTAACTCTCCTCCGCTATATGTTTATCATGGTCTGGTTAAGCTGTTCTGATTGTGCTCTTACATTTCTTATTGCCTTCTTTGTAGTGTTGGAATGCCAGCAATGACCCCTCAGCCTTATATTTTTAAAGGAAAGTTCATTCTTGTTAATATGCCTTTTTATGCTAGTATTTAGCCACTCAAGTTTAACATTAGTTCTTTTGTATATTAGAATACGGTGGCTAATGTTCCTAAAGCATCCCCACTTTTCCTCAGTGTTCCTTGCTTCTAAAATTTGATCCCATTTAAGGTCATGCAGTGTGGAGTGCAATTTAATAAAGATGGCTCTTTTAAAATTTTGTGTTCTTGTACTACCCTCAAGTCTTGCTTTCCTATAGTTTATGATGAATGTAATTATTCTGGTTACTCCACAATAAGAGGGGAGAAGGCTGGGCCTTAAAATAAACACTTGAATATACTGTATTGTCTAAAAAGGCAAAGGCCACAAATATTTTTGAGCACCAGAACAAGAATAGGCTTCAAACTTTGAGGTGCAATGCAGTATTTCCTCTGCAGCAAATTTGGCAGCTAAGGTCCAGCTCTGGAAACACTGCGCAGACCTTTTACAGTGCCAGAGCACAAGACTTGGCAACAAACTGTGAGGTGAAATGCAGTATTTATGCTGCAGCAAATATTAGAAATTGGTAAAGAGCAAACCATAGGGTGAATGATCAAAGTGTGTAATAATTTCTTTGCCAAGAAAATCAGCACACTTACATGTTAACACCTATAGAATGGCATGAGGGATGAGGCTGTGCAGCAGATGATGAATAAAAAAATTAACTGCTCTGATACAAGCAGCTGAAATGAGACTGGATCCAACAGAATGGAAGAGAACCAACATTCGGGCACCTATGGAAAAGGGTCGACTGCAACACTTTTCTGAAGCTCTGCTCGCTTTGTAGAGCTGGACCGCAAAGGGATCCAGCAAATTTTGTATACCTGGGGGTGGATGGACAGAGGAGAATGCTGCACTGAGAAGCAGGGATGGATCAGCTTAACTGACAGAAGGCAATGAGTGCTGAATAGGGATAAAGGATACATTTTGTTACAATTTATAGAAAAAAAGAAGACTATAAAAACATGGTAATACTATCTGTAAGCAAAATACAACAAGCATCAGTTGAAAAACAAGAAGATCCCTCATATGGGAATTAAAATTAAAAAAATGATGTCTCCTGTGTGAAAGTCTTGATGTCATTAGAGTTATTACCAGGGGCGGACTGACTTTTTTGGAAACTCGGGCACTGCCCGAAGGGCCCGGGGTTAGTAGGGGGCCCCATGAGATGCCCCTGGTACCTTTTTCATAGGCTTTTTTGAGTTTGTGCAAGGACACAGGGGCCCCCATGATCCCCTATTGCCCGGGGGCCCCATGAGTTGTTAGTCCGCCCCTGGTTATTACCCTTGCCTTGCAACACAGCTACACTTGTTAAGGGGCTGGTGTGGTGTATATTACTGACCGGTAGGATGTGTGCTTTTGCAGAGAGGTTCCTTCTCTAATGAAGATATATTACAGACGTTCACTTACTAACCACAAAATTGCTACTAAAAAGAATTTTACAAAAAAATTAAAAATGAAAGTACTTGATTACTACAATAATTCTTCTTCCTATTATTATTATTATTATTATTCAGAATTGATATAGCACCAACACTTTACAATATAAAGGGAGACAATGCAGCAACAATACAATTCAATACAAGAGGGTTAGAGGGTCCTGCTACTGGCAGATTACAATCTAATATGTAGAGGCTAGTGGAATTTCCAGAGGTAGGTCTGAAATACATTTTGAAAATTATTTTTACTATCACTGTGACTGAATTCTAGATCTAGCAAGACCAGGGAGACTGGGTCCCAAACATGGGTTAAGGAAAGACTCATGTTATTGCCTTTACAATGTTTGACAAAAGCCTCAATGGTGGTAGATAAGCCATTCTAGATGATAATTATATTATCAATGTACCTCCAAAAAACACCAGGTGGCCAGCAAGATTACTGTTTTTCTAATTGTAATATTGTTCCCACATGCGACCCATTTGATTGCTTTTGACGTAGCTCATAGTGTAGGTGAAAGTATATCCCTGTGTCCCAGAACATGGGGTGTAGGCTTGTCCTAATACCAATTCAGGGGGCTAGTAAATGTAAAGTGGAAAGGATCACCGCTACTCCTGGCCAGCAAAGGTGAATAAACGATAAATAGTGGCCTCAAACTACATGTCTCCACCAAACCACACACCCTTATGCATTTCTCCCCACCCACTAGCGCTTAGTCATAGGATGAGAGCATAGAGTAGCATGAAAGCTTTAATGCATCATTAGCCACAGGGAGAAAATTGTGAAAAAGTTGAAAAGTAGGTGCCAATTACATAAGAGCAATCAAAAGCCCTTCGAGGGCCCAGGGTCAGTAAGAGGCCCCATGAGATGCCCCTGATATCTTTCATAGGCTTTTTTGGGTGTGGTTTGAGTGTGGGTGAGGACACAGGGGCCCCATGATCCCCTATTGCCTGGGGGCCCCATGAGTTGTCAGTCTGCCCCTGGTTCCATTTGTAACAAGACAGTCAGGATAGCTCAATATTGTCCCATAGATATGGCCCAACCAGGGGCACAAAATTTCCATGAATAACCGTAGTCAGAAAGACTGAACTATACCTATATCAATGAGCAGAGTACACTGACCGGAAATTGGTCCCAAGACCACCAGTTACTGAAGCCCCCAACGCCACCTCGCCCACCAAGGCTTGTCCAGAAACATCCACACTGTCCCACCGTAGTTGTCTGAAGGACTGCCAAAAACCCATCCCAACTTTGGGATCCCAATGTGAAAAGCCCACACAGCCGCAGGGCAGAGCATGATGTCACTGCACCTGGCCACATATGGCTGCGCATGCGCATTGTGATGCAACCCCACCATCAAAATGACGCTGGGCACACAGGAAAGGTAACACTAACAACCACCGCAGGCCAGCAATGACCAGAAAGCAGCGTGACATAGAGCCCCCACCTCTGCCAACCACGGGAAGGGCAGGGCCAAGTACATGTCACCACTGGCCGCCTACCAACCATAGGCCATTGGCAGGAGTGCCAAACCCCCCACACCCACACAGCCACATCTCCCCCTCTCCCGCCATCAACCCCCAAGGAGGGGAGGGAAGACTGAGAGGAAAAAAATATGGGAGGAACGGGGGCTTCCAGATATGATGCTTGCAGATATCAAGTCATAAAGCAATGATAAGCATACAAATGTTTCAAAGTTCATACAATAATAAAACCAATTTGAAATCCAGCCAATATTAACATGCAAGGTATATACCAAGTGTCATATAAGTACCATATGAACGACAGTGCTTAGATAGTTGCCAACAATCCATTAAATTACATTTTATGACTTAAAGAAAGGGTTTATAGGGCAAGGTTTCATTAATACCTGGCGGGAATGTGGCATTTAACCGTTCAATCTAGAAAACATCTTTTTGCAGAATGAATTGAGTAAATTCTCTATCTTGTCTCATTCTTTGTCTATCGGGATCGAAAAGGAATTTATAAGTAAGATTTCTAGTAAATAGGTATAAATCCTATGGTTTCATACCGATCCATTTGTACAGAGGGAAAGAAGCTGAGACCATATTTGAAAACCTCCAATTCATGTTTGGTAAAACAATAGGGAGTAAGATTAACAACACTTCATTCGGAGTTACTGGTGTTCAGACTAAAGGTGGGTGTGTTGGTGGTTGTGTTTGGTTGAGTGTCACAAAAGGATCTAAGGTTGCCTGTTGTGTGAATATTTGTGAAGGATTGACCTGTAGAAAACCAATCTGTGATTGAGTAGAAGACACTATACAGTAGGTTGTGAACTGACATTATGCGAAGATGAAATTATTGTAGTAGGTGTCCTGGAATTGTTTGTGGCCATATGTGCATTTGAGTTACCTAATTGTGAATTAATGATGTGCAGAGCTTGTGTAGCTATCTGTCTCATGTGATTGGTACTGTGAAGGTTTACATTATTCAAGGCAGTCTGTGCACCCAACCCATGTGATATATTCAAAGTAAGTTGCTGAAATTGATGAGGATGTCTTTTTGTGGTGTGGAAGGATCCCAGTCCACCCCCCGTGGTAATTTATTTTCCGCAGGCCAATAAATGTGTTATAGGATCTATACATATGATTAGTGTGTGCTGTGTGTTGAACAGAGGAGGAGAATGAGTCAGACCCAGTCCTCTCATCTAAATTAGTGTTCTCATTAGGGGGTCAGTTATAGTTGCCTCGTCGTGGTGATCCGTGGAAATTGATTGGGTTGTCCCAATGATAGGCATAACCCTCCATAAAGGCCAAACAGTCTTTAGAAATTTTAATCTGTTTTTAAGAGATAACTTCTTTGTTAATTTTAGTTATATATTCTTTCACTTGGTATTTGCCCTCATAATGCATATGACTCTTGACAGAGTCATATTTATTATTGAGTAATAGTAAGTCCTGATCAAGTAAGTTCATATCAGTTTAATATTGTCCAACCCATAGTTCCATCAAATCAATGCTACATTTAGTGAGTACAAGTTCCCAGGAGGTTTAGAATTCTGGAGTGACATTTTTGACTGTTGGAAAAACCTGTATCCTCAGACCTATAAGGCTAATATTTTACTTGATGTATTGTTGTAGAAATTCTACATGCCATATAAATTGGATTTCTAAAACACTTTTAAACAAGTTTTAACAACATACTGGTTGAGATTTTCATCATCTCCATTAAATGTGTTAGATTGGATTTCTGCCATATATCCTGTCCAGGCAGTGCCTACAAAGTCCATATTGGCAGATCAATTGATTCTGGAATGTCAATAAGTAAGATTTGTTAGAAAAAGTTATTAAGCAAAAACTAGCCAAGGGTGCTTCCACCCAATGTATACAGACTTTAAAAATACAGTATCCAACACAGAGTGGTAACTGTGAGGATATAAACAATTCCCCAAAGTGCCGCGTCCTAATAAAACTATTGAGATAAACAAACAAGGGGGGGAGGAGGCCATGAAGTCGAATTTATAGGCACTGCAACAATGTTCATTAAAATTGTTACTTTACTGAGTATACACAGATGTACAATAATTAGTGAAATCATCTGCAGAGAGTGTAGTCTCCCAATGGGATAATCCACTCTGTGCAGGTACAAATCTTGTAGGTACATAAAGTGTTAATGCAAATAGACCGTATCCCAGTAAGGGTATAGAACATATTCTGATGTCAATGTCTATAGTGACTCAATATGTTTTGCGATGATATAGCTTCTTCAGGAGTCCCTCTCCCGCCATCAACTCCCCAGTCTTCCCTCCCCTCCTTGCGGGGTTAATGGTGGGAGAGGAGGAGGTGTGGCTGTGTGGGTGTGGGGGGGTCGGCACTCTATGTCGCGGCACTTTCCGGCCATTGTTTTCACATAGTGATGGCTGGCGATGGTCATTAGTGTCATAGTTCCTATGCGCCCGCCACCATTTTAATGGTGGGGTTACATACGTAGCCGGGCGCAGTGACATCATGCACCACCCTGCAGCTGCGCAGGCGTCCCGTGTTGGGATCCCATAAGTTGGGATGGGTTTTTGGTGATCCTTCAGGCAACTATGGAGATTGTACCTCTATTTGTAGGAAGGTCAGTTTAAATCATATTTTCATCCACTCATTATTTAGGAGGTTCCCTTCATGTGTCTTAATATTTTCATATATTTTACATGTTAGGAAGCCCTTTGAGGGGCTGTCGATTGCCCGTCTGACTTACTGGGGTCCCCCTGTCAACTGGCCCTGGCTGTGAGGGCTCAGATCCCCCTCCCCAACCCCCGCTATTATGCTTGTGGATTAAGGTACAGCCAATTTATCAATTTTAATGTTAAATAATCGTTAAGAAAAAATTTGGTGTAAAGTTGTACATAAAATATTATGTTATGTAGTAACTCCTGAAGAAGTGATATCATTGCAAAACATGTTGAGTCACTATAGACATTGACATCCGAATATATCTCTCTATACCCTTACCGGGATAAGGTTTTATAATCTATGCATTAATACTTTATGTACCTACAAGATTTGTAACTGCACAGATTGGATTATACCATTTGGGGACTACACTCTCTGCAGATGATTTGACTAATTGTTGTACATCTGTGTATGCTCAGTAAAGTAACAATTTTAATGAATATTGTTGCAGTGCCTATAAAGTCCACTCCATGGCCTTCCCCCCGTTTGTTTATCTCAATAACTTTATTAGGACACAGCACTTGGGAGCGTTGTTTATATCCTCCCAGTTGCCGCTCTGTGTTGGATACTGTATTTTTAAAATCCTGCCAGAAAGTGTCACACAGCGACGAGATCTGTCACCAGCTGTTTCCACGGGACACAGCTGATGACAGATCATTACACCAGCCCGCTGCCAGTGTCATGTGACCTCTGTGGCTAATCACAGCAGATCACATGACAATTGTATAAAATGGATGGCTTCCTTTCATGCCATCCAT